CAGGTCTTCTCTTCTTCCTGCTCAACTAATGAATAAAGCCCACTGGTGACATATTACCAACAGAAAAAAAAAGAGAAACGTACAAACCCAAATTCCAAGGTCCACCAACGTTAACTGGAGAGCATGAAACTAAATAAAACGAGGAATGTGAAAGGAAGACAGCTGAGGGAAGAATAACGCAGCATTGATGCACCAGTACTAACTGGGAATATACATACTGGGGAGGAGAATTAATGAGTGAAACAATAAACGGATGAGAATAATGAGCAGAGTGGAAGCAGCTGAGAAAGCAGTCGGAGACGGAGCAATTTAAAAAGAACGACTAGCAGAACAGGAACTGAACACGGGCCGGAAACTAAAAAGCAAACGGGTTCAGTTTTAGTTCAACCCTGCATCCATTTTCCAATAAACTCTGACCATCTATTTTTTTTTCTGTTCCTGCTGTTTGAATCCAAATTCCCGTTGTTTTTGTGAACTTAACGGAGGGTCAGAACGCAGGCAGACGGGTCAATCAGGAGCTTCCTAAAAGCAGCACTGATGAAAATGCAGACGGAAAGTAAAAATACCTTAAAGGAAGCAAAATTCAGAATTATTCTGTGTTTGCACTTTACTGCTGAAGACTGAGTCTACGCCTAGAAAAATTTTATTTGTATTGTGAGTTTCACTCACAGAAATGTTGTATTAGTTTTTGTTTGTATTTTTAAAACGGCATCTTCACTTTCACAACTTTTACTTTTGCAAAAGAGCTGCGTTATTATTAATAATAATATTATCAGTTTTATGGCACAGTTTCAGTAATGTTTCCCAAAGGTACCTTTATCTTAAACTGTTAATATTAATGAAAAAAAATACATATATTAACATTTGCCATTAAAAAAATAACCTGTCTAGATGTCTCAGCGAAGATGAAGGTGCTCATAAAAAAAAAAACGAAGTTCGCTCTGTGCATCCTCAGCTTTCTCCTCCGCCTGAACTCTCTCCCTTTAACTAATGAGCAATCAATTTAAAAGTGACATTCATTTCCCAGAAATTAATACTTTGCTTTCTGGCACCAGCGGCTTCCTCGGGGCACCAGCTCAGCCTCCATCAGCCGACTGCAGCTGCTTTCCCTGCAGGAGGGGAGCTGGCTGCTGCCGCCGCTGCTGCCGCTCCAGTCTGGCACTGGAGGCAATAAAAAAGTGAGGCTGGTGTTAATCCAGAGAGGAGTTGCCGACTTTCTCAGGCATTGCTCCCTGTTGCACGCCTATTGCTCATATCCTCCAGGGACGTGCCGCCCTCCCTGCGCCTTCCACCCCTTTCTGCCGCTCTGGATCCTTTACATGGACACTCCCCTCCCTCTTTCACCCTCCACTCGCTCCCCTCCCTTTTCTTTCTTCCTCTTACTTTGTCCAAGTTGTGCCTTTGTGCCCTCAGCCCTCCCTCCCTGTCTTTGCCTCCATTTCTTTTGCTGAAGGGACGTCTGCGGCCCAACTGCTCCTCCTAGTGTCTTAATAGAAACATTGCATGTAGGATTCGAGATATATGAATCATTTTTGGTCCTTTATTCTTATATTTCCAAAGATTTAATTTTGTCTGCAGATCCAAAATGAGACTTGGAACAAGTTCACTTTGCAGTGTCTCAAAAGCTGGTATGGATTGTAAGCATAAAGGAGATTAACATGAACCCAACTGAATATAGGCCCTTATATCTGTATTAAAGTAAATTTTGGATAGCAGTAGATGGCGCTGTAATATTAGTCTATTTAATCCAATGGCTGCTACTGAATGATTTGTCATCTAATTGCTGTGTCCCTCTCTACTGACACAGATGTTTGTTTTCCTGTTATAGTACAGGACTGGCCATTGATGTATTTTAAATTTAGAAAATATTAAAAGGCAACATTTTATAACCTGCTTTGCCTTCCAAGCAGGCAAACTTTCTTGTAATCTTTAAATTGTCTTAGTTAGTAGTGCTATTCGATAAATAATCACACTTTTAATGCAAAGTTGACACTTTTAATGGACGTTTTGTGCAACTTTGCATTAAAAGTGACATTATTTACCGAATGACACGTCATGACGACAATCATAAAAATTCTACTCTTTCATTTTCATAACATGCGTTATGTCAGTCTTATGCACAATCTTTCAAATAAAGTCTACATACATTTTTAATTATTAGTGAAAAATAAAAATGTATCTGGTGGGTAGCAAGATGCCGTGGTGTTGGCTGCATAATTTTCCTTCCACTTCAATATAGTTCATGTGTCTGTGTTTGTATATTTGTAGCAGAATACATTGTAGTTTGAAGTTATGTGACAAAATACGTTAAGCCTGTAACAACAGCAGTTTAATGTCGGATATTGAATCATTGTGTCTGTTTTTAAAATGTTGAAAAACCTGGAAATGGCACTAGAATATGTCAGGGCAACTCGGAGTACAATTGAGAAAAAAACAAAACCAAGCAGCAGATCAAACATCTGAATAATAATTGTAAAATAAATAACAGTCAAAATAAAAAGACTGCATGAAAATAGAAACAATATATATATGTAAAGGTTTATTTATCTGTGGGTCATTTTTTCCAGAGTCATTACTGAATGTTTGGTGATAACTAAAGGTTAATATTTATCTTTTCCCAGATGGGGGCGCTGTCATCCTATTAGTCGTCTCATTTGAGAGGAGAAAACTACAAGAAAATAATTTCTTAACCTCATACCATGCATTTACTGTGGATGCATTTACTCTGCAACCGGTTTAAATGCTCAAAGATGAATTACACCTTTTTACCTTCCGTACCGCTGTCTCAATGTAGCGCACACACCAAAACTTTGACGTTTCTCACTGAGATCATTGAGAGTCAACAATGATCTAGCAAACGTGTATGGCAAATTATTTTTGAAGTATGAAACTGCTAAATAAACGAGGATCCAACCTGTTAATGTGAGTATCTGTGAAGTTGTCCTTTTCCTTCTTTTTTGAGCAAAACAGCCGGGAAGAGCTCATTACCAGCAGCGCTTTATGGATGTTTTGATCGGTTTCTCTAGACTTCGGGGGCCTCCCATTCAAGTCCTCCTTTGGCCGAGTGGATGCGGTCTTTATAGAGAGGCACTGAGTCGGATCAAAGAGCTGCTCTGCAGGTTCACCACCCACCGACCCGCCTGCAGTTTGTCTTATAGACCCGGTTATGAATTGAGGAGAGCTCGCTTCAACACGCCTTTTCTTTTTCTCCTGACCGTCTTGTCTGTGAATGTGTAGGGTAACGTGCCTGTTCCTACGTGTGTGTGTGTGTGTATGTATGTGTGTCTTTTTTTATTTTTAAACTCCAAAGAGGGGGAAGGATTAGGAGATTTTTGAGGCACTCACCTTTTACTCAAACAAATCATTCACTTCAGCTAATAAAAGGAATCTGACCCACATGAACTTTTAGTAAAGGCTGGTTGTTAAGCAAAAAAAAAAAAAAAAGGTTCAGCCCCCATTCACATGTATGGATGGATGGATGGAGAGAAGGAATCAACAACTGGATTGCCACACTTCAATCACCTCAGGCCACAATCTGTTGTCTACAGGACCTCAGTAAAATATTCACACCTCACATTTTGTGATGTTGCAGCCATAAACCAGACTACTTTATCTTGATTTTACGCAACAAACCAACGCAGGGTGTTGCAAGAAAGTGGGAGGAAAATAATACATCCTTAGCATGACACTGCCTCTGCCGTGTTGCGAAGGGGCCATCAGATTAAAGCATCAAGTCTTAAAGTGCCTCTATTCTGCAGCTTTCAGATCAATCTCTGCTCCAACACATCTGAATCAAGTGACTGCTTAATTACCAGGCCTTCACAAAGGAAGTAATTCAACGTTTTGCTTCAGGTGGGTTGTAACAAGTATACATCCAAAAGTTGCAGTACAGAATTACTCAAGGATGGAAGTTGCTGACTAAATATACCACTCTTTTCTTATCTTTTTTTTTAAATTTGTAATAAAAAAAACCCAAAACTCTCAACTTATGTGTTTTCCTTCAAAGTCACAACCATACTGTTTGTAAAAGCCGATTAAAGCGTGATCCATAAGTGGACATTCCTGCAAAATATTTCACAAACGAGAATACAAAAGTGAGACCAGTCATTTTTCCTCTATCACCCCTAAAAATATTCAACAAATAACCTTCAGAAGGCACCTAATAAGCAAACAGATTTAAGTCCAACCCCACAGCATGGTATTTTATTAAGATGTAAATGCACATACATGTCACGCTTTTCACATTTGCGATATTTGTTAACCATTTTCTATCCACTCTTGTGTTGAATAAAATCTTCAATTTATTCCGGGTTTTTTTGGTTATATGTGGGGGGGGGGGACCAGAATACACAGACATTTGTAGATGGATGTGTCAGATCCCTGATGTGTGTGGTTTCCAGTTGTTCATCTGATCTCCTCTCACGTGGTGACAGGAGGGGGAGGCGGCTCTGGCCTGAAGTCGGGGTGCGAAAAAGAGGAGGAGTCTAAACTTAAACAAGGAATGGGAGCGATAGCAGCGGTAGAGCAGCTGCAGGGGGACAGGAAGGACAGGCAGCAGGCTCCTCACCTTTTTTCAGATTTTAATATCCTTGTTAATATGTGTATTTTTATTTTACTGTCCAAACCAGACAGCTGGATTCTGCATGTCACACATTGGCTGGTTTTATTTGTCTGCTGATAAAAGAAGGCTTAAACTGGACTAATAAACTGTTTTACGCACAACGTTTTCATTTAACGAATCTAACGAAAGTGGATTTTTTTTTTCCCCCTCCACCTCCGATAGATTTCAGATGATCAACTGCTTGACACCTTGGGATAAACTTGGGATTTTTTTTTTTTCTTTTTCTGGCTTATTGTATACTGCGCAAAAAGAGTCTGATAAGAGTAGGAACATTTGGCACACTTAAAGAGGACTTGTGAGCTGGACCCGAACTCACACCGTCTCCATTAATTAGCCGGAGCAGGACGCGCGGTGACCCTTCTCACCCATGTCTCAACAGCAGAGCACTTTGCCCCGCACCGGCTGCTCGGCGGCGCCGCGGCGGACAATCATGGACAACAGGCCCGTCCCGAGGAGACGGACCGGAGCCGTCCGACATCTGCTGCAGCTGGCGTGCGTCGTCCTCGCCTGCAGCTCCCAGCTTCTGATGGTGGAGGCGAATTCGTGGTGGTGAGTGACTGATAACTGGAGATGCCGCTTTGAAATCCGCCCATGTGCTTCGAATGTGATTTATAATTTGGAGCGTCGTTTGACGCATAATTTGGGGATGGATCCCCTCCATGTTCCGCGTCCGTTTGTTGTTGTTTTCTTATTTTAAGATGCATTCATTCAGCTGTTTTTGTTTTTTGGGGATCCGGGTTTTTTTTTTTGTTTTTTGTTTTTTGTGACGTTGGATGCTGGGTTTGAATAGAACAAATGTGAAGGCTCTGTCACAATATTTACCCTGGTTGGCCTCCCAAATGGCACAGCCTTGCACCTACAGGGTGCTTTATCCACACTTGTTTTAGAAACTGCTATAGGATTAGATGAACATTCGTGAAATGATGTTGCAGACATGACATGAGTGAGCTGCAGATGGTTTGTTTCTTGTACTGAGCTGAGGAGTGAGGGGGGTTTTGGGGGGTGGGGGAGGTCAAAGGGAAGGAATCCAAGGAGTAATAAAGATAGTGGCTGTAGAGATGTTCTCCACAGGAGTCTATTTATCTGTGTTTTATAGCCCACTTGTCCCAGTAAAATTTGCGCCTGACTTTTGTGCTCTGCTGCCAGCATACCAAAGTCTCAGCTGCATTCCCACTTTTAATCAGATTTCAACTTCAAATGCCCCACATCTTTCAGGTCTCTAGGTCTGACCCCGATCCAGCGGCCCGAGATGTACATCATCGGCGCTCAGCCTCTCTGCAGTCAGCTTTCTGGCCTTTCACAGGTGAGTTTCCATGCATGGGAATCTCCCCACAGGGACCGCTCAGGAGTGTCGAGCCATTAGGCAACTAATCTCTGCTAATCCCGGCTGATGTTCCTGTGTGGCCCCGCAGAGTCAGAGGAAGCTGTGCCAGCTGTACCAAGACCACATGAGCTACATCGGAGACGGAGCGAGAACGGGCATCAAGGAGTGCCAGTACCAGTTCAAACAGAGGAGGTGGAACTGCAGCACTGTGGACAGCACGTCCGTGTTTGGACGGGTCATGCACATTGGTGAGTCTTTCATGCTGGATGTGTTAAAATTCAAGGCAACAACAGGTTTGAGGTTCCTTTAAGGAGGTATTACTGTAATTTTCCTCTGGTTTTTTTTTTTTTTTTCAATCTGCAGGGTAACAAAAACCCAAGAGCATCATGTGGTTGTTTAGAAAACGTATTCTTTTTAATAGACATGAACTAGCTACCTTTGTGAGGGCACACCAGAGTTTTATAAGGATTCAAAACATAAACATTTCACCACATTTAGTCCTTTCATGTAAATCACTTTGAAATGTCCTGTTGTTGAACATGTGCTTTACAAATACCTTCCCTGGACGAAACACATGTATTTTGGAAGGCTGAAGAGGAAGACTTTTAGACAAAATTTATTTTAAAAAATGTCAAAATTTGTCCCATAATGCACAAGCTGTCCAAAAGAATCGCCTTCTGCGCCATATAAATACAATAAAAAACAAAAATACCCAGTAATTCAACAAATTTAAGATGTGAACTTCCAATTGCTTTCCTGTCAATATTATTCTGATTACCAATCGTATTATTTTTCACCAACTATATTTATGACAAATAAAAAATTTGGACCAAAAGCGCTGAGTTAACCACTTTTGCGCAGGCGCAATAAAGGAGGTTCTCAGTTCAACGCAAAACGCGACGCACCATCGACGGAAGTCATGCGTAAAGACGCTCGAGGGTGACACCCCCCCACCCCCCAAAAATAGCGTTTTATCTCCGGTATTATGAGTTTCTGTTGCTAGTTTCGATCCCGGATCCGTGTCCAGCTCGCTTAAATCCCCAGCAGGCGATGTGGGAAACGTCTAATCAACAAGTAAGTGTCAAATCCGCTGCAGGCGGTCAGTCCGTCCGAGAGCTGAGGTGTTTGCTGCCCTTCTCTCTGCTTCTCCGTATTGACGGTGGGCTCTGTCCTCCAGGTTTATACGGAGGTGTGAGGCAGCCATTGTTGCTCTCCGTTTGAAATGCGCTGATGAGCTAGCATCGAGCCGGCAGATCCGGACCTGTTATTTGAAGTCGAGTCTCCACAGTCCCATAAAGCTGACGGGGGAACTGTTTCTTTAAAAGCGCACCGAATAATAAAAAAGGCTCGCACGCCTCGTTTTCTTTTCTTTTCTTTTTTTCTTTATGCATACCTTTCTGTCTGGCTGGCTGGCTGTGTTGATTCCAGTCCATACTGTGGTCCATAAAAGTAGCTGGCTACTTACAAGACAATACTAAATACTCCAACAGAAAATCTGCAATGGAAGCTCAACCAAAAAGATTCATATTTTATATTGGTATACCTTTTTTGATATAAAGCGTCGCGTAATGGCTCTCCACCCGGGGAATCATGGCTTGGAGGGCGCCTCAATTAGAACCTAAAGTTGCTGTTGAGTTGTTGTACCACTTAACAGCCACAAGGTCATAGAGTGCTGCTCCACATTGCTTAAATGAGGGTATGATTAGTCCTTTCCAAGTTGTTGGTATTTATTAAAATTAAGAGCATGATTTTATCCCCAGAATAGACGTTTAAGTTACAAAACTGGAAACTATGTGGCTTCAAGTCAGGATGCTGTTTGTTATTGTTATGGAAATGACTGACATTCAGGTTTCTTAACCTCCTACTTGTCAGCATATTGATCCCATCTTCTCTGTTTGCTTTTTAAGTGGTTGTGTATTAATGCAGATGGAGAGTTGGTGGTCTTTTCTTTTACAATGCGCAAACTGAGATCAATAACATGGACAAGGTGCAAAAGTGGTAAATCATGTGTGGCTTGATTTAAATTATCTGCTTACATCGAATGATTGAATTGATAACGGGCACTTAGACACAAGTCCTTAGATATCCGTAAATCTGAAACTCTGTTTTTATTTCCTTTACTAATCAATTTTCAGGTAGAGTCAAGAAAATATGTATGTTTTATTAGTGTTAGCATACCAAATATATTTTTGAAGGTTTTACGTTAAGTTGACTGACAAAAAAAAACAATTACCTAAATACTTTTTTCAACTTTATTTTATTGAAGTGATTAAACTAAAGCTATTGTCCTGTCTATGGGCCCACTAGCCAAAGGCTAATTTGCAGGCCCAGTCACTTATTAGGCATTTAGAAGCTCATCTTTAAACTAATAGCAGAAATAAAGTTATTTAAAACCAGGAGTAGCAAATGTTTTTCTTTTCCAGGTTACGTTAAAATCTGTTTCTTCACTAACATTGTCTAACAAACTTCACCGAACAGCTTTATTTATACTGAGAGTTAATCACATCACATGCAAATTAATTTATTTATTTATTAGGTTTCTGTACTACATTTAGAAATTTCAAAAGAAATAAGGGGTTTTTTGTCACAGAAATGTTTGAGAAACAAGGTTTTTAAATATATATATATTTTTTATTATTATTATTTTTTTTTACAAATAACTAAATGAAAACTGTGATGTTTTTATGTATTTATCCCTCTTTGAAAAACTAAATAAAATCCCACCTCTCTGTAGTTGCAGCATTATCCTGTGGGGTTAATTATATTTATTTATATTCTTATTTTGTGATCTCTGAAACAAATCGATGTATCAGGTAAAAAGGTGTAGATACAAAAGCAAGCCACATAAATCATCATGTTCGGTTTTATATCAGCTTAGTTTATTTTTCCACTTCAAACTCGCAACAGAAGAAACTTCACCAAAAAATAGTAAATTCAGTTCATCCACAGAGATTAAAGTGGGTTACATACATTCCCAATTGATCCTAGTTATAAAACAGTCAAGCTCAATTTATTATTCAGACCAGTTAGAAACTTTTTTTTTTCAAAGTAAACTCAGCCAATTGCATTGAATCAATGACTTGCAGCAATCACTGCTCCTTGATAAACATGCAACAAGAGATGGATTTTGGTTGCAATATGTAGAAATGGCAATAAGATGCACTGGAAGTCTTATGATGGTAATATGTAACGTATAAAACATTGAGCGACAGAATTGCACCTCGCGTCGTTTTTTGAAATCTAAGAACGTCTCGCGTTTTTCACTCCACCAGGCTCAAGGGAGACGGCATTCACGTACGCCATCAGCGCGGCCGGCGTCGTCAACGCCATCAGTCGGGCGTGCCGCGACGGCGAGCTCTCCACGTGTGGCTGCAGCCGCGCCGCCCGGCCCCGCGACCTGCCGCGCGACTGGCTGTGGGGAGGCTGCGGCGACAACGTGCATTACGGCTACAGATTCGCCCGGGAATTTGTCGATGCCAAGGAGCGGGAGAAGAATTACCCGCGCGGGTCGAGAGAGTACGCCCGAATGCTCATGAACCTGCACAACAACGAAGCGGGACGACAGGTATGACGAACCCAACACACACCGCCACTTTTTGTTCTGCTGTGGGAACTTTGTTGGGGGAAATGTGTTTTTCCTCTTTTTACCCGCATACTATATCTGTATGTCTGTTAGGAATGTGTGTCAAAGTTGACACACACTGCGAGTGTGTCTGTGTGTGTGTGTGTCGGTTATTTATTGGGAACCTGCAAATGGTACAACTGCTAACGCCCTTGGAGTTTAGCTGGGTCGCCCAGGTCAAGGCACATTCCAGCGCTTTAACGCACAGACACACATGCACGGATAAACACGGACAGATGCAACACGTTGGACGTCAACATTATTATTATTATTATTATTATTCTTATTGGGAACATGAAATTTGGTGGATCTATTTCATGGCACGTTTGCAAGATGTCGCGTATTTTTAAATCTGCACTTTTAGTCGTAAACTATCCGCCTCGCCTGTTTGGGTGCAGGCCGCTTATCTCCACCGCAGCTTTGTTTAAGCTGTTTACAGGACAGAGACATGCATGTGTGTATGCACAAATGCCCCGTTTGATTTGTGTGAGAGACAGTGAGCCCAGGTTTGTGTGTGTCAGAGGTCAAAGGTGAGGGTCTGGAGAGCTTGTGTTTCTGCCGACGGTCCCGTTGGGGCTATAGAAGAAAGTATGAGGAGGAAGATATACTGCCGCAGCTTTGTATTAACACATGCTTCCACACACGCACACTCTTTTGAAATAACTTTTCCTTCCTTCTCCTGTTTGATCCTTCGCTTTCATTGTCGTCTGTCCATCGAAACGGAAGAGAGGAGAAGAGGGAGATGAAAAGGTGGGGAGGAAGACAGTTTCTCTCCTTCTCCTCATCCCTCCGTTCCGTCTTTCTTCTGAGGACACGCTGGTTTGTCCTAAGTGGGATTTGTCTTGCTTGGCTGAACAAGGCAAACCACAGAGTCTTTGTAGAGGATGGAGAGGTCTGCCTGTGTGTGTGTGTGTGTGTGCGTGCATGTGTGTGTGTGTGAGAACAGTGAGCAGTGTGGTCGTCTGTGTGTGCTGACGGCTGGAGGCAGAGACGCACATCAAAGGAGGAATCTTTGTCAAACTTGACCGATTGTCACTAACCAAAACTAGATGCTCATTCAGCTTTCTGTTTAACATAAAAAATATTCCTCAGTTTGGTTTTTCATTATGTGAATTCTGTTGAAAAACCTCCCGTCTGGCAGATTAGCACGTAAGCAACCTCACTCACTATCAGAGGGCAACAGAGCGACACAAACACACACTTGCATTTATGAACAGTTTAGAGAGACCACTGAACATTTGGATAATATGGAGAAAGCCAGGGTGTAAACACACAAACTCACTGCAGAAAACTCCAGGCCATAATGGGAACCCAGGTGGAAAAAAATGTTTCAACAAAGAACAGAAGATTAAAAAAATATATATGCCTGTGTATTAGATCTAAAACAGACACATTTCTGCTCCCAATCTGTGTAAAATCATCACTGCACATAGTAAGAATCATTAACGACATGAGACGGGTGACGGTTGCAGTGCCCTGAAAAACATATCCAGAGGAAAACTGACAATGCACATGACCAGAAACATACCAGATTGACAGTGACACAAGGTGGCGGTAGCATCATGCTGTGGGAATGCTTTTCTTGAGCCGGTGTATTAATTAAATCTACTGGTAAGACTGAGAACTTGCCAAAGAAAACTATAATGTAATCATCTAGTTCTCCTACAGCTGGGTCAAAACAAAGACTCTCTTTTAAAATACAGTAACACCAACAATGCCAGTGAAGCGTGGACGTGTGTTGGCTTTTTTTTTTTTTCCCTTAACTTCTCACTTCATTCATAGCTTAGCCTGGCACTAAAAGGCAGCCTGTGTTCTCCATTTCTGTCCTTGTGTGTTTCAGACACGGGCGAGTATACACCCATACACACACTCACTCACACTAACCCTGACTGAGTAAAACCTATTGTGCTTGACACAGAGAGCATGTCTCCGCCATGGATGACTGACCATGAAGGTCCAGAGTCACTGTGCCCAGCAGGCATGACCCACCAAATACCTCACCACGGCGCTGGACAAACAGATGCCTGCTTTGATTGGACAGAATGGGGTTCCTGGCTGCTACTGTTTTGTGGTAAAAGTGTTTTTTTCACGGGAGAAATAAGTTGTTGTAGTTATAACATCTCGAGCTAAACCACCAAACGCGTGTAGCCTTAATAACAAATACCATTGTCCTCTGTTTTCCGTGGCTGTCTGAGGAGGTCACCGGGGTCGGATCACAGGATTGCAGGGTGCCGAGTGCTATGCCTGCTGGGTAGTAAAGTAGAGGTCTGAAAGCAGGGGGTAGGAGGTGGGACGTAGGGGTCAGAGGTGTTTGGGATGCAGAGGTTAACGGAGGTGAGAAGGTAATTGAGATCAGGCAACGTGAGGAGAGAGAATGATGGGTTTCATTAGCGTCAGGGGAAATTAGGAATCGGAGGTAAATGATTCAGGGAGTAAATGTGTGGTAGCTCGTCTGCTGCACACTAAACTCTGTGCAGCGCTCAATGAGAGCAGGCGTAATTTATGTGGGTGTTTAAGATAGGGGTGTTTTAATGTGGCTTGTTTATTAAATGTTGTTTAGGTGACCTGGTAAAGCTGCAAGGTTTACTGCTGCAGAGACCGTAAATCTTCTATTTCCTGTTCTGTGTTTTGTTTTAAACAAACCCATATGTTCAGAACGCAGCAACATCCTACAAATTACAGGCTTTCTGAGGGGGGGGGGGGGAAACCATGACAGAACGTCAAATGTTTCCAATGTTTGATTTGTGGTTTTAAAGTTAGCTAAGGATGAAGGAAGTGAAGCAGAGATGTTCATTTTTTTTTTACAATCTTTCTTGAGAAAAAGGAAAGTTTCAGCCACCACAATGCAACTTTGATAACACTAGTATTTAGGGTTGTCAGTGGAAAGTGGGGTACCCTTTTTCACCGATGCACCAAAATAAAATACTGTGCAATCAACTGCTTTTTTGATTGCACAATCTGTGAAGGATACATTTTTTTTAAAATGTTACTGAATAAACAGCATTATGAAGACCAAACACACAACAAACAGGTCCAAAAGACTTGCAATTGCGATAAGAGGTGGTTCTATTGAGCAAAAATGGTTGTTTGCACAAATACACCACTCTGTTAAGAGTTTGCCAGGAGACTTTTTCATTCCTTTTCGCAATGATTCATTAATTTATGGTTACTATCAGACAAATTTCCCATAAAATACCCAAAAGTGTGTGGTGGCAACATAACATTTTGTTGTGACATTGTGTTTTAGCAAGGATCTCCATTAAGTGTGTGAAAATTCAGGGTAAATGTAAATATATTTATATATACAGTTTATTAGTCATTTCCATTCAAAAGACCTTATACTGTAAATTTGACTCTGAAACAGTCTGGGATGTTGACATGAGAAATAGTCGCAGGGATTCTGTAGTTGCATATTTCCACCACTAGATGGTAGCAGAGTAGTATTGAAACTAAGAATTCAGTCTTCTGTACTTTGCCGTCATGCTGGTTCTTTTCTTTTCTGGTAGGAGGATTTATTTACAGATATACATGAACGTCTGTCTTTCACCAGGCCGTCTACAACCAAGCGCATGTCTCCTGCAAGTGTCACGGAGTCTCCGGGTCCTGCAGTCTGAAAACTTGCTGGCTTCAGCTGGCCGACTTCAGGCGAGTCGGAGAATTTCTGAAAGAGAAATACGACAGTGCTGCGGCCATGCAGATTGGACGCAAGGTATTAATTTGATATGTAGTGACCACAAACATTTACTTGAATGCTTTATTGGTGAAATGTGCTAAACAGATACACTAGACTTGATACGCTCACTTTATTTAAAGTCCAGACCACTGTTCTGGTGGTCCACTGTCCAGCTGTATCACTCAAACTTCTTCCCTCCTTTTTTTTTTTTTGCTTTACCAGGGGAAGCTGGAGCTGAAAGACAAGCGCTTCAACAACCCGACACCTGAAGACATGGTCTACATTGACACAAGCCCCGACTACTGTCTCCGGAACGAAACCACGGGCTCACTGGGAACGCATGGCCGCTACTGCAACAAAACCTCAGAGGGCATGGACGGCTGCGAGCTGATGTGCTGCGGCAGAGGGTACGACCAGTTCAAGACGTACAAGCACGAGCGCTGCCACTGCAAGTTCCACTGGTGCTGCTACGTCAAGTGCCGGCGCTGCACGACTCTCGTGGACCAGTTTTTGTGCAAATAGCACAAAAAGGCGGGTGAACTCTGGCCCAAAGAAATGGGAGAAGGAGGAGGAGGTTATGAAGAATGATGACTGATATATATACATATATATATATATATATATATAAAAAAAGATGTCCAATATTCTGATCACGGTCCTGATGGAAGAACAAAACAGCACAAACGAGGATGAAAGGGATAAACAGAACAGGTTTCAATCCCTTAAAGTGGGGACACATTGACCTGCGTGAGCTGAAGAGATGAAAATAAATATATAATTAAGAAAGAAAGAAGTCTACAACGTACACATTTTAACTTAAAGAGACTTGTGTTTGTTTTAAAGTGTGAAGCAGCCTTGATTCCTCTGATTGCCTGCTGCTTTTTTTAATGCAAGAGCACTGCTAACATCACCATATGCACTCCCATCCCACTGGCAGGAGCAAAGAAAACTACAACCAGCAGAAAGTGAACAAGTCAAGGTGACAATGAACGCAAAGTGCCTTGTAGAAGTATTCATACCAGTTCAGCTATTCTTCACGTTTCATCCAAAAACTGGATGTTACGTGACAAACCAACAAAAAGCGGTCCATAGATATGCAGTACAAGGAAAACAATCCACGTTGAGCCATTTTTTTGCAGCAATTATAGTTGTAAATAACATTCTGCCCTGAACAAGTTTGATGTTGCTGTTAGGATGGTGCAAGCATCTCTCCCTGTCCAGTAGACAACACTCTGCTATTACTAAAAATAAAAGAGATCAGACTCACTTCTCTGAGCTTTACCGTGAGCTTTTCCCCACCAGAAAATCCATTTTTGCTAACTGCGTTATAGTATGGGACTCCAAGCATGATGATTCCACCACCATGTCGGGTTTCAAGCAATCATGTCCAGTTTTAGGGTCTGTCAGACTTTTTTACTAAAATGTTTTCTGTCTTTAACTGGCCAAATCACCTGCTTTCACATATTTGCTCTGCTCCCTTCATGGCTTTTTGCAACGTGAATTTATTAAGGGACTTGCACACCGAATGCAGCATCAGCTCCACCAACCTCTGAAATCCATTCATTTGTGCTTCATGCTCCACGCAACAATGTTTCGTTTTTCGCTTCTTCTTTTTTTTTTTTCCTGCGCCGAGCGAACGCCAATGCACTGCATCTCCTCCCTCAGCGCTGAAGTGCAAGCAGCTCGGCACGGCTTGCGTTGCACTCAGTTTAAAGTCGATATTTGTTGCACTTTGACTGCAGTTGCACAGCGACAGATCCTCGCTTGGCCAATAGATACAAGATATCTGTCAAAGTGCTCCACACTGAGTAGAAAGCAGCCTGTTATTATGGAAACCAAACTCCTTCACTTGCTCTCTAAGGGGTTACACGTTTCTTTTTTATCTTCTTCCCTGTTGTTGGTTTTAGCACAAAGGAAATGTAAGATCTGCAACTCAAACATAACAATAATAATACGTTTTATTGTGAAACTCTACCTCTTGTTGTGTTGTACTTTGCTATGGATGAACAGAATGCAAGCACCATCAGTGTTGCTTCCAGTTTTCCAGGATTCGCTGCTGTGAAGCTCAAAGGATGCTGTTTGTCTTTCTTCTCGTCACTCTTCCTTCAAGGCCAGATTTATTCGTCGACCTCTAATCTCTATTCTACCTGTCTGATTATGATCATGTCTTGAAAGGTTTGCAGTTCTTATATCTATTTTTAGATGATAGCTTGAACGTGTTGGTGAGAAGTTCAAAGCTTGAGATATTGTTTTATAACCTGACTCGGCTTTAACCTTCTCTACAATCTTTTCCGTGACCTTTCTGCTTTATTCCTTGGGCTTTCAGGATGCCGTTTGTTCACTAATGTCTCCAACAAATCTCTAAGGCTTTCGAAGATTTGTTGAGTTTGAAATGAGATTCACCTAAGTGCATATGTACTCCATTTACTTAGAAGATTTCTCACGGTTCGGGGAAAGGAGAGCTGGTTACATCTTTCAGTTTTGAATCTGTAGCCAAAATAGAAAAGTTCACGTCGTTTTCCTTCCGCTTCATAATCACGTTCCACTTTGTGTCTATGTAGCAAATCCCAATAAGATTACATTGAAGTTTGTAGTTCTGAAGAGACAAAATGTGAACAAGGAAATTGAATATTTTTGCAAGGCACTGCAAAGAGAGGGACTCCAGATACTTCACTCTTTTTTATTTTTTGTAACAAACTTTAGGAGAAAAAAAGAAGAGCTCACATAAATCCAGTTCTAAATGCCTGAACCTGCAGCAGCATCAGCAAAATGCTAACAATAATTCTCAAAAGGACAGGGCACACTCCCTTTTGTGTCGGTGACCTGACAAATGATCCTGTGAGCGGGTTAATGAGGCCTGCTGCTTGCAGCCATCTTGCCATTGTTGCTGTTTAAGTGGGCAGTGTGCTGTCTAGCTCCATAACCTTCACATCAGGTGAAGGAAGCACCCAGTAGAGAGATTTACATGTTGGACTGGCCTTAATAAAGACATGCAAAGAGACGTGGTCAGTGCCAAGTGGACCTTTTTCGTCTGACGATGTCAAACAAGATGTCAAGTGTTGTGTTGACTTGGTGTTTTTGCCAGGACTGTGACACTTTGTGACTCTGTGATGCAGATAATAGACGTGCTTGTGGACACATGAGGACTGAATATGCTGTGGAAAATAAGTGCAAGAAGAAACACAAGAACTGGACTGCAATTCCTTACAAGCAACATTCAAGAACTTAGTGGATAAGAAATTATATTTTGTTGTTTATAAGCTTATGATGTTTTCTATGTTTTATACATGCATATTACTGTGTATTCTTTTGATAAAGTAGACTTTGAAAGTGAAGCTTTCTGTCTGCGGCAGTTCTTCAGGAAAAGTCTGACCCAGGTTAACACGTTCCCTCCTCTACAGCTAAGCCTTTTTTTTTTTTTTTTTTTTTTTTCCTGGTTCAATTTTTTTTAAAATGGGAAAAAAAAAAACTCAAAA